TAGTTTGTCTACTAGTTTTCGAAAATCTAGATCGGGCTCTCGAATTGAGGAAGGATGGGATGCTCTCTTTTTTATTGCTATTTTCCTTAATTGAGGTGTTAAGGTCATCATTAAGATTTCTGTCATTTTTGTGTTTTTATAGTCATGTTTATTTAATGAATATGCTTTTCGAACTAGTGTTTCGATACGTACTGCTAATTGTTTGATGGTTTCATTTGGTAATCTGCGAATTTCATTACATAAAACTCTTTGTTGTTGTTTATTTCTCTCGGAGTCAAACATTTTTGAAAATTCTTGTGTAAATCTTTTCCAATTTGATTTTATTTCTATAGGCAATACTGAAAACCATTTTTGGGCTGCGCCATCTAAGGTTGTTTCTATCAACGCTGTGCGTCGGTGTATCCAATTTTGATGTAGTGGTGTATTAATTGGTTCAGGTCCTATATTTAAAATTAAATTTGCTGTAACTGCATTTAAATAATCTTCTACAGAATATTCAGGGTCTGTTCCTGTGAATACCATTAATGGCTTGTTTGATGTTATTGATGATCCACCCAAAGGGTATGGATTCATTGTCATTTGTAGTGATTCTGCGGCATTTGGCATTTGTGAAAAATTTGGAAGTTGATTTTTTGTTATTTCGTGTTGTTGAAGGTAATATGGGAGTGGTATTTCATTTTGCATTTGTGTTGGTTGATACGAGTGTGTGATCATTGGGTTTTGTGGCTGAATTGGTTGAAAAGTTTGTGTATTATTTGGGTTTTGCATTTGTATTGGTTGTTGATTTTGTGTATCTGTTGGATGTGGAGAAAAAATTCTATGATATGTATGTGGTTTTTGCACTCCTTGTCCGCGATATTCTTGAGTATATGGTGCAAATATATCTGGTTGTAAATAATCATCATCAGAGGATAAATAATCCGTTTGATGAGGTGCTTGCTTTTTATTTTTATTTTGTTGAAAGAATGGGTAATTTTCACTACGATCCTGTGGAGGATGTGAATTAGTTTGAAAATTTACTGAGTTGGTTGTTGCCATTGGGTTATCCCAATATCGAGATCTTATCTGATTATTATTATTTTTTCGTGGGGGATAGTTTGTTTTTGATGAATGTGCGTAATTATAATTGTGTTCCGCAAAAGTGTTTCTTGTGAACGTTCTGCGTGTTTTTGACGGTACTGTCATGGGTCTATATGTTTGATAATCCATTTGTGAATATTTTGGAGCAACCGAAGGTTTAACGGTTGATTGTAAGGTTACGTGCTAGTGAAGTGTCTGTATTTCTTGGTGTTGTTAAATTTGGACGTATCGGTGAAATACTTTGTTGTGTAGTTGTTGTTGTTTGGACGATTTCTTCGTTTATGAAGTGTGATGGTGTTTGAATATCTTGATGAGTAAGATTCCTAGTTCCATTAAGGTCTTCATTGTTTATGACGGTCGAATTTAAACTGTTATTTCGCGTATCAGGTAAAAATGTATTGTAGTTTAATGGTGTTGCATCAATGGTTAATGGTACTACTCTTACATAATCTCTTGTATAAGATATTGTACTTATTGCTTGATTTGAGATTGATTGTGGGATATTTATGAATGCATAATGAGACCATTCGGGGTCCCAAACGTAGTCTGACTGTTCTGTGATGGCGGTATCATCGTTTGAATTTTGAGGTCTGAAATTTTTTCTTGCTTGCGAAATTAAATCTATATTATGTGTGAAATAATCTATTGTAAACCATGCCAAAATTTTTTATAAGTCATGTTTTGTATGTTGTGAAACTTCATATTTAGTGAAATTTTCTTTAATTATATGTAGGAGAGTTGAAAAAAGTGTGATTTCATGTCGTACCCTTATATGTTTGGAGGTCTCTGTCGGTGAGACATTTGGGATTGGGATTTCATTTTCTAATATTGAAATATAACTATATATTATTGCAAAAACTTCATTAGTAAATATGGAGTTTGCTCTTTGTGAGTTATGATATTGTATGCTTTTTATATATTCTAAGAATATTTTGAAAATTCTAAGTCAAGATCGTCTGTTTGAATTACATATTTGCGGTGATTCGGGTTTGGTGTACTGAATTCTATGGTGTAGATTCCGTATTGTTGTGTTAAATTACATATATCTTTCAGATAATGATCAATAATTTGTCTTTTGATTTTTACATCTGGGAACTCTGCTTTACATGGGCTGATTCCGGGTTCGAACAAATTTAGGAGTAAATTCTTGCAAAGATCGTGTTGTCCTCTATTATCGGGTGCATCTACGAGGAAGGGGTAGATATCGTCGTCATCTGGACTATCTTCACTTGGAGTGTGTGTTTGGCTCAATTTTTCGTTTAATGACTGTTAATAGGTAACTATCGATGTGTCTCATTGGTTGATTCCAATTATACAAGTGTACTGGTTTGTGTTTATATTGCTTTTTTATTCTTCTTTTTCCTCTTTTTGATAAATTTGAAGTTGATTCTGAGTCGGAAAAATATAATTGATCGTGAATGGGACAATTTTTATCAATAGATTCTTTTAATTTATAAAGTTCGTCTAAATTGCTGGCTTCTGATTCTGAAAATGCGTTTCTATTTTTTGAAAATCTTTTTCGTGTGATTTGTCTTTGTTTGGTTATTATTTTCGTTTTTAGTGTTTGTCGTTTTGTTCTAATATATCCAACTGTTTGTGTATGAGGTGTGATTACAAGGTCGTATTTTTTGTTATCTATTTCACAGTTGTGTAAGACAATTGTTTGTTTATTTCCTAGATTTTTAAATGACATAAGGTTTAGGATGAGGGATGCAAAAAGTTGTTAGATGATTTCTATTTCTTAGACTGTTAGTCCTTACGATTTTTTCATTAGCTTAACCTGGGTCTATTTGTTCAGGGTTGGAGAAAAAAGTATATCGATTCCGAAGAATGATTTTTTACTTTCTCGTGGCTAGTATAAGCTAGGGTGTTAACTTAGTTAATCTTACTTAGGGGTAGTGATTGTGTTCAAGGGTTGGAGAATAGTAAATCGATCCACAAGGTTCAGGTATAATTAGAACGCGAGTAGTTCGTTAGATACTAATTTAAACTAACTAAGTCTAAGATTTATCCTGGGTCTGGTAAGAGGAGGGTTCAAGTGAAGGATGAATAACCGAAGTTCTTCACTGTTTATCCTAATTTGAATGATTAGTTTTGTTCAAAAATTTCTATTAGTCTTGGGTTTTTTTAGAAAGGGTTGGATAGTGAATCGACGTTTGAGGTCGTTAGACACCAGCTAAGTGGGTGGGGGAGAACAAAATTGTTCTTTTTGATCCAAGGATAAGCCTTGATGATCAAGTTTTAAATTTAATGAAATAGAAAAATTAATTTAGATCCAAGGATAAGCCTTGATGATCTGATTTTAAAATAAAGTGAATTTAAAAGTTTAAAATGGTTTAAATTGTTTAAAAAATTTTAGTTAATGATGTTTAGTGAGCTTATGATTGCTGTTGTGTTCAGGTGATGAAGCTGGGACTACAAATGATTTTATGATTACTAACAATTTATTGTCATGCTACTAATTTTTGTTTTGATTTTCAATAAACATTTTCCGAACATGTTTTATATAATACTGCAGAATTTAGGAAAACGATCTGAGATCTTTTTATCAATCGTTATTGTATATTAATAATTTTGTTTAGCGCCTGAAATGATCATGAAGATTGACTTCAAGATTTTATGTTTGTAAATGAAAATCTAAATTCATTGCTAATAAAATTCTAAATATAAAAGTTTGTGTTGGCTTTTGCCGTACTATCATATAACTATATGGTAAGTTTCTGCTTTGTCGTATGTCGTCTCTGGTTCGAGGTCTTCTTCCAATTCCGGGTAGTTCTATTATCGTTCGGAATATTGGCTCTGATCTATTGAGTCGTAGAGACATTTCGATTAAATTATCGTCGTATAACATTTTGAAAATGTTTTGTCTAAATTCTAATCTATTTTTGGTTAATTCTAAGCTATTAAGGTCTTGTTCGAGACTTATGGTCGCACCAGATGAGTTATAACCGAAGTGGTTAACCCATAGAGTAATTTCGGATAGGGTAAACCGTCTGCTCGTCACGCTATCTTATTTTCAGCCGGATAGATTCGTGCAACTTCTTAGTCTAATACCGATCCTAATCTTACTCTTATACTATCTAGTCTCAGGTTGTTTAACTAGTCTCTGCTTGGCTCAATAGATCTAGGGTATACTGGTTTATTGCGGCTGCTGAAGTTCTCTTGGAGAGGCAACTAATTTCTAAGTTAAATTCAAATCTCTCTGGTGCTGAAATTACAAGTAATTTCAGCACTTACAAACAAGTGGGTTGTTAGTTTGATGGATCATGATTGGTTAATATTAAATACTTTACAGTGGTAAAATATCTTATTTATCCAATCATAAAATGTAGTTTAGATCAGGTTCCAATAACTCCTGTGCCAAAAATGAGTTTATAGCATTCAAATTAAAATTCAGAACCCATTAACTTTCCACTAGATTTTCAGTTTCGCAAACACTAGCAAGAGCACGAAAAAAAGCAGCTCTAGAATTCTCAAAAAGCAATAAGAAAAAGTGAAAATAAGCTTCGAATTAGTAAAAATTCAGGGACGTCTCTGACTCGAACCTACGACCTAAAAACTTTGAGTCTCACGCACAAACCACTCAGCCACGGAAGCATAATCCACCACAAACACTAGCCATAAATAAAGCCGAGAAGAGATGCTATGAAATTTCCAATGCTACAGATCAAGATTATAGCAAAAAGGCACTCAAAAGAACACTTTTGATTAACACTTTTAATTGCGAGCTAGATTCGAAAAAAATCAGGTCCATACTAATACACTAGCTACTCGCTAGCGTAAAAAACAGAAAACTAACTGCACAAAATTGGCCTAAATAGCTTTGATTTTTAAAAAATTATATCAAGGACGACAATAAAAAAGGAACCTTGGATAACTTTGAACTTACAACTTCTGATTCTGATAGCCTTTATAATTACCTGGGGGTGCACTACTGCGTCGTCTATGCGGAGCCCGTGAGAGACTTCTATTCTGACGAGGAATGTCTGAAACAACACGCCTTAAAAGCAAACACTGTACTAGTAAGTACTGTTGTTTAACACAGGATGTTTTGAAAACAAAGCAACAATTTTGAAGTCCTAATTTAAAAAAAGAACTTCATCAATGGCATCAGAATTATGAAAACTCATAACAAGCTGTTTTAGTCGCCATGTCAAGACATAGTCACTTTTTTGGACAACAAAGTGAACTTAAACGGTAAAAAAAATCATAACTGCAAAACTGCATCGAGCATAACTAATTATAGCAGCCATTCAAAATAGAAATTCGGAAAATACCAGTTATCAAATTTCGAATATCGTTCTAGTTCACTAACAAAAAAATTTATGCCAACGTTTGACAAACTGTTCGAGTAAGTGAATTAAATATAAGTTGAAGTAATACCATGTGAAATTTTGAAAAAGTCAGGTAAATATAAGAGAGACTTACCATTATTATTATCAATTATAGACTCCGTTGACCCGTAGAACACACTGCCCCTATTTGACCTCGAATGTGCCTTCGAATACCTACTGTCACGACTAGTTCCCTCGCTAACTGTCGTTCTAGTTGTCAGAGTTGATGCCCTATTAGGAGAGGGGGAGGATTTGCGACTGCCACTTGCTAAACCTCTTTTGAACTAAAAGAGAAAAGATGAGCCTGTCATAAATTTAAGATGTGCATAGATTTCGCCCACCGATAGATTTGTCTTGGCAAAAAAATCACAAAATTGATCCTCTCTTGATATAGCAGCAGAATCCTTCCTATTTTTTGTATTAAACATAGCCAACAAACATATAAACTTGAAAAAACCGTATCAATACTAAAATTTTGTATTCAAAGAAAGCAAAGAATTAAAATCCACTTTCGAACCTTAAAGTTATTCACAATTTACTTGCTTATTTTCCACATTCTAAATAAGCAAGTAGGAGAGATATCGTAAAACTAGCAGCGTAAATTGCCTTCTTTTTTAGCGAACAAATTTGAATGTAACAAAGTCAAACTGCAAAAAAAATCAAATTTGGCGTTATAAATCTTAAGGCTTTTTCCTAAAAAAAAAGAAAAAAATCATATACTCTCCATCTATCTATTCACACATCAAACTTTACTTTTGGTACCTAGTTTTGTATCAAGAAAGAAAAGCAGCACATTCTCATACAATTTTCCTTCCATGTGGTAGCGTATGTTTAGAGACTGATATTTTCTTTTAAGCCTTACCCAGTGAAAAAAAAATCAATCGAAACCCGTTTTACAACTATATCACAACCTCAATTTTGCTGTTCTACTTTTATAAAACAAAAAAACGAGATATCTATAAATTAATTTAGCAATTTTTTTACAAAAGAAATCGGAAGTCTGCTACTAAATTAGAAAAAGCTCAGAGAGAACCTACCTTTTTTGATTATACGAAGAACTATTTGTGATGGGATGAATTTTGACTTCATTTATGATACTTGAAAAAAATTCCAGGCTTTTTTGGAGTGCCACACCTGTTCATTTCTCGCCTAGTAAACGATATTCTGCACAGGTGGCCTAAAGAATGTAAAATTAAAAGTAGGCAGAGACATCAGTAGTAGTATGCGAATTGCAGTTCTTGTACAAAAAAAAAAAGTCAAGTGGCAAAAAAAATGATCGTGAGCTGGTTTGAATAAAAAATAACCACAGCCTATTGTTGCATTCTATCGAGTCTTACATACACATACCTTATTTTTCTTTCCGATTGGCGACTGCTGTCTCAACGCTACTCTCGTTTGAGGAGTTAGCCCCCTTTTGTCCCTACTGAACACTTGTTGGACTCTCTGGAAGGGGGTGAATTTGACAGTCTCTACGTGGGGTTCACTTGAGGGGATGGAGAGGAAGTCATCTGCACAAGAGAGGGCGGGGTCTGGCTCAGAAAGACACCTGAATAATTAAAAACAGACTACCTAAAAATTAAAATTTATTAAACAATTGAAGAAACAAAATTCTGCGACAGAGCTCTTGAAACGTTAAGCAAAAAACATCGAACTGTAAAAAAAAACGCAATAACGAGTGTCAAATTTAAGCTATCGCCAAAAAAATAGGATCGAAACACATTAGAACCTTCAGGATTTTTATAACGTTAAAAGTTTCACTTTTTCTCGAATAATCAATTAATTTTCCCAAATGCGCCCAAAACGTTTGAACTGAAAAAAAATCAGCAATAATATGAAGCGTTTATGATTTCAAATCCAACCTCTCCGCAATTTCCTGTTCCAACTGTGTCTGTCTGAGACTGTACAGTAGATTCAGTCCCTCCTTGTAATATGCCTCGGGACACTTCACTTCTGGATCTTCACTCTGCGGCAGATATCTGCAAAAAAAAACAATTTTGTGAGAATGTAAGATGAAGGATTGATAAGTGATAAGTGCATCTGCCTCTCAGTCAAGATATTCGTTATCCTATCCGCTACGAACTAAGCAACAAAAAGTCAACATATCTTTGCGCCGTTTAACCCAAATTTCCGTTTTTTTTTTGCTGATCGTTAACTGTCCTTAACGAGTTTCAAAAATCATTTTTTTTCGACTAACTATCTAGGCTATTCAATTTCAATGAAATATGAAATAGAAACTTTTTGTTGCTAAACTCGACTCAACTTGAGTAATTTTTTTTAGTCCAATCAAAATATTTTAAACGAAATCCACTGAGTGTTAAGAGTGTATTTTTGCTTCACGAAAAGTTGTCTACAATCGTCATCTGCTTACCTTCTAGCACATGATCCGCCTTCCATTAACACACAGAGCGTGAACAATTTCTGAAACAAACAGAAATTTTTGAATATCAAAAGCTGAACTTTTCAATTCCAATTAACTTCTAGGTTTGACATCATCCTGTTCAAAAATATGTCGAATTTATTTACCAACACAAATGATGAACTACTTCATTAATTATTACACAACAATTGAAGCCAGAATAACTTACCATCCTAATAACAAGTAGAAAAGTCCTCCCAGAATACACTTCATATTCCATTGACGATTCCTCTCTCAAGAAAACTTCCCTCCACATGACTAGTTGTGTATCTTTAGGCGAAGATGAAGAATGATAATTTGGTTCAAAATTCGGATAGATAGATTGGACTGAAGATAGAAATGACAACTGAGAAGAGCGTGGTAATATGTCTATAGATGAAATTAGAGTGTGGATAGAATGAAAGTGAGTTTCTTGAATTGAGTTGAACAGGAGAAGATTCTGAAACAGACAAATAACGAGATAATGTAAAATTGACTAGAGCTGAAAAAATTAACTAAAAACTAATCACGACTTTAGGATCGATTTACTTTAATTTTTTTAAACATAAGTTCAATTTTTGAAAAAAAAAAATCTGGCAAAAAAAAATTAAGAAAACGAGGCAAAGTATTCTTCCCTGAAGTTGAATGACTTCAAATGAAAAAAAAACTAATCTCAAAGATTTTTGCTCAAAGTTCAATCGAATTTTGTTGTAACACAACTTGAAATGTGAAAAAAATCGAGCAACAATACCATGCAATGCAAGGAACCTACTTTATAATAGAGTCCTGTACCACGAATGAGGAATGGCTTCCGTTGTCCGATTAGAAACCCAGCCTAAAACAATCCCTCTTTGAACATTGAAGAAACGTCACCTGAATTAATTATCCAGTTGGTTCGTAACATTGACCGCCAAGTCCGCATATAAGCCCATTGACCTGAAGATTTATTTTTCTTATTCATTCCAGATTAGTTTTATTTCGTTGATTTTGTCTCACCAATTCAAATTGAAATCTTAACAAGGGCGGACCTAAGATTTTCTCAAGGGGGAGGATTTTCAAAAAATGAGAAATTTTGTTAACTTTTTCAGGTCGACCAAATTGATTTTCAGCACCATAGCTAAGATTATGAACATTGAAAATTTAAGATTTACTCACTTCTAATCGCCAAGCACAGCTCTCAAACTCAATCATATACTTAGCCAGCAGATTCTGAAACACAAACCAATCAATATTAGCCCAATAAAATATTTTGAAGACACGTTAAAACATTGACCTAAAAATTAAAATTACTGTCATAAAAATCCATTGCAACAAAAAAACGATACTATTTAAAAATGTAGAGCCTCATAAAAATTCAAATATTCGTATTTCGATAAAGCTACGCTAAAATAGTTTAACTCAATAAAATTATCTAAACTTTAATTAAAAGTTCAACCCTATCAAACCTTATTGGAAAACCACACCATGCGCCCAGTGCTTCAACTGTTTGTATTTCAAGGAAAATATGGCGTTATTAACCAGCCATTTAGGATAAATCTTTCCAAAAACTCAATATGAGTCTACAATATGCCATTAATTGCTTCTACATCGACCAGTAAGGCACGAAAGACAAGCCCCACAAGATGACAAAATCAAACAACGAAATTCGACACAATTTAAAAACATATTCAAAAACTTCATGAACAATTTATGCCTGGCTCTTGTTTGATAAAATTGACTCAATAACTCATTTTGAGAAAACTGGATCAATAGGTAAAGTTTTTAGTGAAGTCGGTCAAGTTTTTTGTGACTTAACACTTGCAGATCGGTAGTTTAGTTTGCCTTCCTTTTAACAAAGGAAAAGAACTGAACTTGAAATCAAAAATCAAAGCGGGAAAATCAATCTTGAGCGGGAACAGATTTAACGCAGCTGCGATGCTCAAGAAGCAGACATGAGAAAGACCGAAAAAGGAGATAGAAAATAAGTTTGAAAAATGGTCCCCGATAGATTCGAATCTCAAGCTTTTGTCTCACACATGCGTGTACACCTCTATGCCAGATGTGCTGGACGATTGATCAAATTAAGTTATAATGAAGCAAGTTGAAACAAGTTTAACATTATCACGTGCTAAATCTTGTGAATAAAGTTGTTCACGGATAAAAAAAAGTCTAGTACCCGATCGCAAGGTACAAAAATAACTTAATTTTTTCAAATTAAACAATTTTTACGACTTATGTAAGTGACAATTTACTCGTTGTTTTACACTTAACGGAGTTAGGCTTCTTCTGAACGAAAATATATCTTGATCAGGAAGGCCATTCAAGGAGAAAGGAGGCTAGATAAGAGATAAGAAAATCATGGAAACAGATAGAAAGATGATAGAAAAACCACCTGAACAAGAGACACCAAGTTGGCCAAACCTAGTGCGACCTAGAGATTGTAAGTCTCAAACACTAACCACTCAGCCACGAACGCTTAAAAATCACAAAAACTAGCCACAAATAAAGCGGCAAACAGACGCTATGAAATTTCCGATGCTACAGATCTAGATTATACCAACGGCACACAAATAAGTGATCACTTTTTAATAACAGTTTAATTTGCAAGTTAGGTAATACACTACGCTGCTCTATAGTTTAAAGAGGGGTATTTTAAACGGATAAAGCTGCGATGACAGAACTATTAACTTAAAGCTTGTTGGAATGCTTATCGCGTTGTTTTTTTTCGACCTTGGGCTCTTTGGTCTATCGCAGTGAATTTCATCCCAAAAAAGTACTAACTTGATATTCCATTGACAACTCTACTCTATGCGGTATCTCTAACGCCAACAACATCTCGTAGTCTTTCGCCGATTGTTTAAACATTCTCGAAGTCGCTTCCAGCATATAATCCAGTGACTGGCGCGTTAGTTTAATTAGATGTTCGTTTCCACTCCTTAATGTATCTGATAGATTCGATGAGACTGACACATCTAAGATTGTTCGATAGAGTTTGAGAAAATGAGTTGACATTGAAAGCGGCATTCTGAAACAAAAAAAAAACGACATTTTAATATGGCTTCATGGGTTTCGGTAAAGATTTGGTATAAGCGCCGAGGATCTAATAAAGGCTTTCACGCTGGTCTAATAATAATAAAAAAGAATAATAATAATTATCATAATAACTATAATAATCATAATAATAACAAATAGTTTGCAATATAGATTCCATTCACTGTAAAAATTACTACAGTTACAGCAAAATGAAATCTCATTGCGAGAAAACCGTGGAACTTTGCAGCCCGTTTTCAGGCGCCTCTGATCCTGCTATGACTTGGGTTGGTTTTTAATATCGATAGTTCATCAATTAAACAATAAAAAAGATTTACTGAAAATAAAAAACTTTGAAGCAAAAAGGGGCAAAATTCAGCAGTATACATAACCTTGACAGCAAAAGGTAATTTCTACTCAAAAATGAGTTTAACCAGTTGATAATTTCCTAGAATACAGTTGTCTATAAACTCATGATTGAAGATTTGTAATTAATATTCTGAGCAGCTTTGAATCCAGGTAACAAAATCTGAGAAGTATTTTGGCACAAAGTTGAAAGTTTTCTACTTCTAACAATTATCGGAGTTTTCTTTTAGCCTTTGAATGCACAGGTAACCGCCAAGCTGAAACTCTCTTATTGAAAATTGTATTCAAATTTTTCTTAGTTACAGCTTCCTGAACTATGGCCGATATGCACTCTTTTCTCAAAACCTTACATAGTGTATTTTCGTTTTTGTCATAATTCTTCTATGCTCTCATTTCTTCTCTTCAAGCAAAGAAATTTTAGTTGTTTCATTTTAAATTCAATAGTTTCCAATTTAGATTTGTCTGTTGACGCATAAGCCAAAACCACGTACTATAAAATGGGTTTCACATAAGCGTTATATGCACACAGTAGTTGATCTTAACCTTAATTTTTTCTTAACCTAGAATACACACCACAAAATCTGACCAATTAGTTTCAATTTTCGTAATATGGTCTATGAAGGAAAGCTTAGAGTCAATTTGAAAACTTAAGTAACGGAACGATTGTTTCTCTTCAATAGTTATTCCATTCATTTTTGCATAGGACTATCCGCTGCTTCTGAGATAGAATCGTTTTTTTTTTCATTATTTAAGGCCAGATTGTTTTTTTTCCTAACCAACTTGCTGTTTTGTCCAACGCTTCTTGATGTCTACCAATAATATCTTTGTTTCTAGCGGTTGTTTTTATGACAGTGTCCTCTGCATATAAAATCAAATTACTTTCACTATTTTCATCTAGTGCAATATAATTTATATAAATCATGAAAGAAGCGGGCCTAATACGGATCACTGTGGTACTCCATAATGCACATTTAAATTTTGAGATCGTTTGGTTTCAGAAGCAACGTACTGTCGTCGATTTTTTAAATTGCAGTAGTAAAGATTGGGGGATATATGTCTCACTTTTGGCTCATATGTATTATATCTGAATATAATACAAGCATGCAATTGTCGAACAATAAAATAGATAAGAGAAAAATGTACAGTTAATTCCACTATTATAAGATAGAAGCCAAACGTGAGCGATATACCCCCATCTTTACTACTGAAATCCCGTTGCAGTGTTATAAGACATTATAAGATAGAAGCCAAACGTGAGCGATATACCCCCATCTTTACTACTGAAATCCCGTTGCCATTATACTAATAGCCCGTTGCCGTTTACTTTTTCGCCTCTAGCACGTCTTTTACTTCTATCAATATGGTTTGCATAGAGGCGAAGTTGCACTTCGCATACACAAGCAAAAATAAGACCGATAACGCTACTGGAAAAACTGAATGAGTATAACTTTGAGTAAACAAAATTTCTTAAAAGACGCACGCCAATTATGAGTCTATATAATTGCTACGTGACGTAAGAAAATTATGACGCATTAGCAGTACCAGTCAATTTGAAAAAATTTTTACCAACTAACATGCCTCAATTTATAGAGCGGACGCATTTTAACTAGTATACGAAAAAGTTCACTTAAAACTTCCCACCCTCTTATTTTGCTGCTGATCTCCTTCCCTACCTCTACGATACAGAAACATGATACCTTGAAGCTAAAGTGCTATTTGTAATATAATAATCTGTGTTAAAATCCTTAGCATTGGCTGTACTTAATAGCTGGATCAAAATGAACACATTTTGTACCAACAATTGCATCGCAACAATATTTGAGACTTAGGTTGGATAAAAAAGAAAGTTCATACTACAACACAAGCCATGCTTGAGTAATGATGGTTTGGCAAATGATAGCGATCTGTCTCGAACAACTCTTTTTGAGGAACGGCTCTATTTGTAAGACAACAGCAGCTTTTAGATCTTTTCATTCGGAAACTTGAAGTCGGGGTATTTCTGGCAACTTACATGGCAACCGCAAATTACACAAAATTCTTCTGAGCAGTGCAAACTAGAGCTTTACTTAAGTTGACTATTTTTGGAGCAAGAAAGACTGATGGCTGCTGGAACAATGAGATAAAAAATCATTAACTCAGTTTTTAAAAATCAGAAAAATCTCAAATTTGAACGGCTTAAAATACAGTGCTGATTCTAATTATACGGACTAAATTTTGCTTGTATTTTAGGCTTGATAGCCAAAATATTTATTTAAGCCTTTCGCACAAGTTTTTGGATTCTGTACCCTTCTTTAACTTTGCTGGGCTCACACAACAGGCTAAGTAGAGCTACACATGATTCGTTTTTTGGGTTAAAAATTTGAGCCCCAATTTCGCTAAATAATATGCACGACAAAAATTCTTATCAAAATCTAAGCATTAAGAAAAACGCGATTCAAATTTCAAGTTTGAATCGTTTAGTCCGGATAATATCAATCAGCATGGTGCGTTGAATGGCTAATCAGCTTAGCGCATGTAGTCCTTTCAACGTGAAATGGTCCCCCCTCCCCTGGAAAAATAATGAATTATCGACTCACAGAGACTCTTCGCATATGAACATGAGCATATGGTGATTCATCTTCCAGTACGCAATGTTCAGTCTGTATTTCCCAACCAAAACAGACATGCTAAAACAAGGAATAGAGTATCTATTTATGTTTTAAAATTTCTCGTGGCTTAACCGGACAAATATCTTTAAGCCAGTCACGACATTTTTATCCATCCAGTTAAGTGTTTATATATATGTTTTAAATTACCTCGATGGTACGTCCTGGTTGAAACTATTGTATACCAGATCGGACAGAGTTAAAGTGATGGCTTTCAGTGTCTCGTCTAGTTGTTCATAGGATGATGAAAAGTCAGACGGGTAACAGTAGTTCTAAGCAAAGAAAATATTCTAATTCAGAAATTCTGAATTTATTGAAAAGCTTTTTAAGCATATAATATTGTGGATTTAAAAAAAAACTGGGATCATAAAAATTGATTTTTAAGCTAATTAATCAGATAACATACCCCATCATCAGATGACATCAAAGGCAGAATCCGCAGTGCAAACAACTCTTTCAGATATCTGTTTACGCCTCCTAGCCTTCTGTTCATGCCTGGTTCTACTTTGACAAAGTTCCCATTGATGTATTCAAATGTGTCTTGCTTTACATAATCGTATGAATTGAGTTTGGATATTCTCGAAAGGCATTTGCTTGCGATTGATGGTTGCTCCGCTTTCATAGGTGAGGCCTTTCTGATTGAGAGTATGATCTAAAAAATAGCAGTATCATTATGAAAACTTATATTTGCAATTATTCACGAATGAAATCTTGCTGATATAAATGAGAAACTCAATTATCAATCGCAAAAACGCCCTAGCAATTAATTGGTCCTAGAACAAATTTTACCATAATTTCATTGAATTTTAAATTTTACGTGCGTTTATATCAAGCCTAAAAAAGGAAAATGCTATTTCTCAGAAAAGAAATTTATATTAGCCAAATGAATAGAAGGAATAATCAGATATCAAAGGTCCAAAACATCGATGAGCTGAAACAGATAATAATGTGTATTAAATTACTACTACGCCAACGTACCTCGGTTTCTTCCTTCAACTGTTCCAAATACGCTTCCACGCTCCTTAGCGTGGCAATATCGCCATTGATATGTTCAATCACATCGCCAATTCCGATATATTCACATTGCATGGCAGGAGAACCTGGAATCAACCCCTTGACCAATACTCTATCGTCAGAAACAGCACCGGACCCTGATAGACCCGGACGACCACTCTGCGCCACACGACCAGGGTAAATTCCGATTAGTGACTCCAGCTTGGACCAATCGTCGCCGAAGTCGGAAAAATCGCTTTCGTTGTCTTCATTCTGAGTGATTGAGAAACTTGAAGCGGTCGAATTTTGAGGGTTGATCAAAAGTGGTACCACAACAAGGGAATGCGGCGTAGCTAAAACTCCCATGTCGAAATTCAGATCCTATCTGAAAATTTAATAAATGAACATCATTATGCCACGGCCTGCCAGAAAAGAGTATTCCTCGTTTACAACTTCGCCGGTTATCATACCCCCCAGTAAATAAATCAAATAAACAAAAAAAAACACATTACTAGCCAGTTTGAAGGAATTTTCAAGTGTACAACTGTCAGTCAAATTATGATGATAATTATTGCCAAATACAGCAAATTTTTTAATTAAAAAATTTAAGCATTTTTTGATAGTATCGCAATCTTACTGAATAATCCTTGAAAAAATTTGAAATCTTACCATGAGATTTTTTCATAGAAGGCCACTATTATTACGGAGCATTCCCATGGGTCCAATATTCATAGCTCCCACCGGCGAACTTAGACCGAGACTCGGCTAATTTAGTCTTTTGACCAATAAAAAAAAGTAAAATATAAAAGGGGCCCTTCCGTTTAGGTACAGTCGCGCACAAGCTGGATAGGGCTCATTCCAGCATTATATAATGTGCCAGTCGGTCATGTCTGGGGGTTTGACCTTGAGAAATACGTAATTTTGGAGTGAAATTTTAATTTTGCAAAATTCGAATCGAGCCTGTCATGCTCAATTTTCTCGAACCAACTGAAAATGAAAAAGTCAGAAATCAGAACACCCGAATTAACAATTGCGGGAAACTACTCAAGAAAAAGGCAGGAAATTGCTATTCGCAATTTCTCGATACGAAATATCAAGAGAGTAGAGCTGTCTTGTCCTGAAAACAGGAGAATCGAATACGGACTTGAGACAGAACAATTATTCGAATGGAAAGGAGTGGACTCTGAATGGAAGAGTGGACAACTCGAGTGTCCAAAGGGTTCATTCAGAGACTTTGATTCTAGAGACAAAACTTACTTCTGTTATTGAAACTAATTGGCCTTAAAACTTATTTAGTTATATTACTTAATTCTCAAGCTGCTCAGTTATAACTTACTCCTCATACTCAAGTGCGTCGATATGTAAGTTCCAATTTAAATTTCTCGAGTGTATTTTATGATAGTTATGTTGAGATAAGGCGAGTTTTAGGTTGATCCATCTGAAATGGATCAAAGTTCCACTGTCCAATAAAAAGTAACTAAGCGGATTGTTCCGACCCGGTTTTTAACGGCGTTCATGTATTTTGGGTATCCCGAGACCTAAGTATGGGGACGTTTTTATTTCTAGAGTGGGGGGGTATTTTGGTAGTGGCCTTTAAGCTGTAATGGGTTCCAGTCTCATGTCGCAAGCGAACCGAATTGGCTCCGACCGTTCTTGAGGCGGAAAAACACAAGAGATAGTGTCCCTGACTCTTGAGCCAATGGTTATAGGGCCTATTTTTCTTAAGCCTCATATGTGACTAAAGTAGGCGACTGTTACATAGTGTTTTTATGGCGCTCCTGGGTGTTTTTACGACATCATGACTACGGAGTCGAACCCACTTGACACAGCTCCGGGCTACATGCCCATTCTAGAGTACCGGTGGTACGGTTCAGCGGGAACGTGTAAACCTTCCGGTTGTACCGTGATAGCTTTTTAAGAAAACTCAAGAAAACTTCCTGGTACGCTCTCCGAACGAGGCTTAGCTAACCGAGTAAAGGGGGGCAACTAGGGGGACAAAAACACGTGTAACATTCGTCTACTGCAGTCACACATGAGGCTTAAGAAAAATAGGCCCTATAACCACTGGCTCAAGGGTCAGGGACACTATCTCTTGTGTTTTCCCACCTCAAGAACGGTCGGAGCCAGTTCGGTTCGCTTGTGACATGAGACTACGACCCGTTACAGCTTAAAGGCTACTACTAAAATATCCCCCCACTCTAGAATTAAGAACGTCCCCATACTTAGGTCTCTAGATACCCAAAATACATGAACGCCGTTAAAAACCGGGTTGGAACAATCCGTTAGGTTACTTTTTATTAGACAGTGTGACTTTGATCCATTTCAGATGGATCAACCTAAAACTCGCCTTATCTCAACATAACAATCATAAAACACACTCTAGAAATTAAATTTGTACTCACATAGCAGCACGCTCAAGAATTGGGAAAATAATCCAGTCAGTAACTAACTCAAGAAATAAATAACTAAGAGAAGTTTAATGTTTTATAGTTTGGACAGCAAGGATAAGTTCATGCTCTAGAATTTGAGTTCTCTTGGACCGTTGGGACACTCCAGTTGTCCGCCCTTCCGCTGAAGGTTCACTCTGGTCCAACTTTAGTAATCGCTCTCTCGGGGATACTCTGTCTTCTATTTCAAGTAGGACAGCTCTACTCTCGATTGTATATAGACGGAAATTGCGAATAGCAATTTCCCACTCGTTTTTACTTTCTAACTTTCCCGCAATTGCTCTAAAATTGTTCTGATTTCTCCCTCTGATTTCCAGTTGTCGCAAGAAAATCGTGCATGACATGTTCCTTTCGAACCTTTGAAAAATTAAATTTCACTTCAAAATCAAGTATCTTCCGCTCCTCTCAAGGTCAAACTTCCAAATATGACCGACTGGCACATACTCCCCGGACTCGAGATCGATGTCCTCATCGCGCGCTGTCTTCTGCCAGTGAGTCCCAGAAAAACCGAGTGTTGCTCAAGATACAGTGCCAGTGGTCATTTACAGAAGTTTGCAGCAGATTTAAGATTATCTACACCCCAAAATTCACGACCATTTAAAATTTTCACACTATTGCTAAACAGCAATCAAAATCTGCATTTACCTGCACCTTTGAATTTTTCGCTTTTCAAGCCAATCATTTTAAAAATTCTTTTGTCCTATTCAATCAGGAAATTGTCATGCAGCATTTCGATTTATATAATAGATATAGTATATTAGTAACAATATTTACTTTGTTAAAATTTCTTTTTCGTGAATCCAAGTTTCACTCGGATTCACACTCAAGCCCCCCTTCCCTCTCAAGACTCAAGATCCATCCGATTTGCCCATTCACCTCGTGCTCTTCGCCTTGGATGTACTGCATCCTGAAGTGCTAGATGCGGCAAACTGTCTCAACAGTTCCTCTTCATCATCGGAACTAATCACAATCTCCTCCCAAGCCTTCAGTTGTTCATAAGATCGCATCCATTCTCTCTGCTCCTGCAATCTCTTTGCCTGGTTGGGTAGTGCCTTCACCCTAGCTTCTCGGTTCAAGCAAAAGGAGTTGTGCAGGCTCAAGCTCACGTTCTTCGCCAGGTCTTCCTCTAGTATCGACTCCCTCGCTTTGGTATTGTCTCTAGACATCTTACCCACTCTCTTCCATCCCGTCGTGATCGCATTACGATGGGTTAGCAGGGGTCTCTTGAAAGCTTCCGGCCCAATCTCGGCCTGGAACTGTCGATACTCCTTTTGATGTTTTCTCATGTGATCTTTCGTTGCCCTGTACAACCAAGACGTCAGTGTCGCCCGAAACCATGGAAAGTACCTCAAGCGACTCCATACGTGCCTGACTTCCGTTGGTATGGCGAATACTTTGCACGCAGTCTCAAACAACTCAAGTCTCCTGCTGTAGTCTATCGCGTATATTGACTCAGCCGTTGGCGTCGTCGCCTCCCGATACTTCGTTATATTCTCTTCTATCCATCTCAGAGCTAACATCGTGCTCACTACTAAGAGCGTCACCTTCTGCCGGTGATCCGGCAGTCCGATCGACCGAATCTCTTCCACATCCCACACCAGGCAAAGGTTCTTGTGATCTGGATACCACACCGTTTGTGCCAAACAGTGGCATGGGCATTCCCCATGAGAGATCTCAATGCTCCTGAGATTACGCTCCCCTGAGGCTTCCAAGAGAGGCTCAAGCTCCATCATTTTCTCGTGCATCGTGTCATTGTCTTCCAGGTTTGGAGTACTTCCCACAGGTTTCCCGATCACGTTTTGTCTCTCGTGATCGCTTGTGTTTTCTCTTTCCAACTTCAGAAGATCTTCTCCCCAGATTTCGCTCAAGTCATCTCTCAATTCTTTTGGTACTGTCCCTTTGATTTTTCTCAACAACTTGTGCGAGTGATGCGATATCCGAGCCAACCTCACGCACTTGGGCACTGAGAAGGCCTTGTCCACCAGTATTCTCTGGCTGGACACTTCCACCATCGCCATGTGTAGCGGGTAGTGACTTCCGCACAAGTTGGCCATCATTGACCCTATCAGCGACTTCGCGTTCAATGGCAAGCCATAAGCTTCGCTCAAGGGAAATCCCATTTCCGCCTCAAGACCAACCTTCCAGCTCCGGATGTGTTTTTGAGTCACCTGCAACACCCCGGGCCATGATTCTACGCTCAACGCCGTCACTAAATGATGCTCAGACTCCAGTCTCTCCAGTGCCTGCAGATCACACATTCTCGAGAAGAATCCGAGAGCTGTCGCTATATTCACCGTGGTTCTCGCGTAACATTCCGCTATTATTTGCACTTCACTTTTCTCCCTTTCTGTGATGTCTTCGAACCAAGTGACCAGATCTTCTTTTTGAAACGACAGTATTCTGACGCATGACCGTCCATCGCAGATGTGCTCTCCGTTCCCACACGTCGAATCCAGACAGCTACCCGGCTCCAATTTCTTTGTTGACCCGGGGTCGCTCGTCCTTTCGCTTGGTTCTTGCATCTGGGGTGTGATTAGCTTATGTAGCACACTCAACTTCGCCAGATCTTCATCTTCCGTTGGGGCTAACCTCACTCGCTCGGTGGTTTCCTCGATTAGACTCGCATGGGGATGTGGACACCAGGAGGGTCTTAGTAGCTTCCATATCACTCCCAAGTTCGTGGTTAACAAGCCATTTCCACCGCCCATGTTCACTTCAACTCTCTTGTTTGAGCGCGGTATGCTTATCACCTCTGGTGTTTTCTCAAGAATCAGGCCCAGGCTCGGCCCCTCTTTCTCCACTGCGTCTATCTCCATTATCCTTTCTGTCCAAAACTTCAGTAGCTCCGCTACCTCATGGTTTCTGTGGGCTCCTCCAGCTTCCGAGTCTAAGAAGGGATTGTAGGCTATTCCCATCACTCCAGACACATATTGGTATTCCCCCTTCTCACTGAGTCTCGAGTATTGTT